TCCCTTCCCATCCCAACACATCCCTTCCTGTCCAATCCCGTCCTATCCCAGCCCATCCCGTGCCATCCCGCTGCCTGCCCGCGCGGAGCTCAGCCTCCCGTGTGCAGGGATGGGCACAGCGGCACTGGCACCTCAGGGCCCAGGGCTCCTGCTGTGGCCACCGGCTTTGCCGAGCCCTTTCCTGGCTGCTCGGTGCTTCCCGGCCGGCCAGGCCGGCTGCTCCGTGGGAAGCAGCCCGGCACGGGTGCAATTTCCCCGGCTAATTGCTAAGGAGCGCGGGGGCGGCGCTTGCTGCGCTCCGCCGGGACGAGGCGTGCGGAGCCAGGCACGGCCCTGCTCTCTGGGCATGGGCTTCAACCCCCCTTATTTTATCACGCTCATTATTTAGCACACGCTATATTGCAGGCAGGATTTGGGCGTCAGTTTTCCTGGGAGTTGGTATCCAGGTCCGCTGGGATGCGGGGCGCAGCGGCCAACGTGCACCCTGGGACCAGGTGGACGTGGTGGCCCCTTGCAGCGCAGAGGCCTCTCCGGCAGGGAAGCGCCCTCCGGGTGAGCCTGGCCATGGCTCATGGCTGGGCCGGGCTTGGCTGTGTGGCAGGGAGAGGGCTGGGATGTGCTGCCTGGGAGCACGGAGCAGGGCGGCCCGGGATCCGTGGAGCAATGCCACCGCACAGCAACAGAGTAAGGATGGTGCTGAAATCCTGGGGTTTTGCAGCCGCTTCCCAAACCCGTCCTCGTCACGCTGTTTGTGCACCCAAAGCTCTGGGAGCAGCTCGGGCTCCGTGTCGGATGCAGAGCAGATCCTGCCGGGCCAGGGCTGGTGCTGGGGGAAGCGGAGGCCGGGACAACACGGCCACCGGCACCAGCAACGCGGCAGCCCGGCCCTTCCCACCTGCTCCACTCTCTTCCCAGGACAAACGAGCTCCGGATAGAGCTGGGATTTTCCTCGGCACAGGATGGGTCTGCCTTTCCTCACATGCTGTTTTTCCCTGGAGCTGATTGTGGGGGAAGCGTGCAGAGCCGGTGGGATGCGCACGGCTGCAGGAGCTCACAGGATTGCGCCGGCTGCGAATGTTGGGAATGGGACAAGAGCCAGGGAGGGAAAGACAATGAGAAAATCCTTGGAAAACAGAGAGCAACCTACACACCAAGGACTTGCCAGAGATATTTGAAAATATATCACCCCCCAAAAATGTTGAAAACAAAACAAAAAAACCCAAAAGCATTTTCTGCTTTAGCAGGTTAGAGATTGGAAGAAGTTCCAAAGCGGAAGCACCAGGATGAAGTTTTCCCTCTGTCCGGACCGCAGTGCTGGGGATGCAGCGGCTGCCGCGCGCTCCCCTCTCTCCGGGCTCCATGCCGGGGTGTCCGGTTGCTATCGGCAGGAAGCCGTGAATTGCTCCTGACACCCCCCCGAGGGCGGCTCCGGCAGCTCTTCCTGCCGCGCGGCTGGAACCGGGAAGTGGGGCGAGCGGCCAGAGCCAGCGCGGGCAGAGCGAGGTCGGGCACCGGGGGCTGCTTCGGGGCTGCAACCAAACGACTTCCGCCCTCAACACCTCTGTCCGACTCATCCTGGGGGGAATCTCCTCCTGCCATGGACTGGTGGTGCTCAGTGAACCCTGCACAGGGCAAACTGTATCCCTGCATCCCTGTATCCCTGTATCCCTGTATCCCTGCATCTCTGCAGGTGCAACCTGCTCCCCTGCAACCCCGTGGGTCCCCCGTGGCCTGGCGAGTGCAATGTACCCCAGCAGTGCCATGTGCACCCCTGCAGCTCTGCGGTGCAAAGCGCACCCTGACACATGCAGAATTCATCCCGGTGGCCCTATAGGTGCAATGGGCACCCCCGCAGCCTTGCAAGTGCAGCGTGCATCCGCTGCGGCCCAGTGGGTGCAGTGTGCATCCCCACAGGTGCAATGTGCATCCAGGGAGGCGCAATGAGCTTCCCCATGGCCCCGCACACCTCCCTGCAGCCCCGTGGATGCAGTGCACATCCCTGCAGCCCTGTGGATGCAGTGCACATCCCTGCAGCTCCGTGGATGCAGTGCACATCCCTGCAGCTCTGGGGGTGCAGGGAGCATCCCCGTAGCTGCCACGGGTGCCCCTGCAGCTGCAGACAAGTGAAATGAGGAGCGGTGAGGGGACCTGATGCCCTGCACGGGACACGGCCCCGGTGCCCCGTGTGCCGCCGGCCCGAGGGGCATCCGTCCCCGTTACATAAAGGGCCCCGGCGCTGCGCGCATCAATGCCGCGACGCTCCGCCCCGGCTCCTGATCTCACCGTCACCATGGCGA